TTTTCATGTAACATACATTCAAAATCAATGATGTATATTGAATATAGTGATTTGGTTTTATTAAGTTATTCATGTTGATACAGGAATATCCTTGAAATGTCCCTTTTTATAGTTTTGAATTACTGACATTATCCTAGATTGAAATAAATATTCATTTTCTTATTATTATCAATATTATTATTATTATGTATATGGTTAGAGGAAACAGAACCCTGCTGACAATTTTGATTTTTTTCAGAGCATTGCAATTGGGCTGTTGTTAATTTGCAAAAGGCATAAGGAGGAATTAAAATCAGCAATTTACATTAATTTTCATTGCAGATAGGACATCTAAAGTAAATAAATAACAATAGCCAATTTAACAAACTTAACAAATTTAACAACTGCTAGTAACTTTGTGTTCATGCAGTGATTTTATTGTTTGAAAAAATTATAAACGTACTTTCTGTAATGTATAGTTGCCATTACAAGCTGTCTGCTTATAGCCAAGTTTATACAAAAATAATCTGCTGTGATTACAAATTTGTAATTTACAGTAGGTTTTAATTTTAGATTCTAATTTGACACTTTTTGTTTAAATTATTTTGATATTTTAGCATTAAAATTGTTATAATTCACTACATAATGTAGTAATGGTCTTTTTACCATTATACATGGTCTGTCAATGTGTGTGTGTGTGTGTGTGTGTGTGTGTATACGTGTTTGTGTGTAATATAAATTTTGGCCGGTAATTTGAGGGTACATTTATGAATTCAATCTTTACCCACAGATCCAATAAGCAGAGCCTCCCAAACCATGGCGAAGTGTGTGAAAGCCGTCACAGAGGGGGCACAAGCTGTGGATGAACCAGCCATATGCTAAAGCACAAATGGATAGCCATCCAGTTCCTAGATGATACGCACAACTCCTTTATTTGCACATTCCTAGAAATGTATTTGCACTTGTTTGGACATAGATATTCTACTATAGAGTAAGTTTCATAATGTGAGCAAACATACCTGCAGAAATATGTCTTAAGTGATGTAGGCTGAGTGAAAATGTCATCTTAGATCTGCCAAGTATTCAAAGATGCACACCTCACAGTTTTTTCCCTTTATCAGTGCTCACATTTTTGTAGGCGTGACCAAAGATTAAAAATCTTTATCTTTGTCTTTCTGTAAAACTGACAATATATTTTCCTAGACATATTTAAAATAAATAGTATTTAAAAAGTGTAGCTCTTTGTAAATGTCATATATATTAATAAACCAATCACCTTTAGCAAGTCTAACCCTCCATTTAAGATTGTGCCTTTTTGTTTAAAAGAAAAAAAAATGTGTTGATGCAGTAAATTCCACTTTTCCTGTGTGAAATGACTTCCACCTGAACTTTTCTATTCACCGGCTGTGGTATTTTTATTGGCACGTGGTCCATCATTACTGAACAAGCCGGCAACAGTGTGGCAGCAGAGCTGATAACTCATTCATATGGAGGATGATAGTCGTGGTCCAGGTGGATTTCACACTAACAATTTGCTGGACACCCCTGATTTAGTCTGCTTCCATGCAGTGGTTTTAAAAGGGGGGCAAGTACACGGCACTGCCCTTCACACAAAGTGTTTCATAAAGAAATTAACGTGATAGTTGTGCACTGAAGGAGCTTTTAATAAAGTTGAATTTCCAATATGGTAGGAGAGGTTGTTGTTGTTGAGCGGACTGTTGTCATGTCCCCGCAGTGCCTGTAGTGGTGCTGTGAGGAGTCCGCTGTGGATCCAACAAAAATCCACAGCAGCCTACCTACTGCTTGTAATTTGCTCTGGATAGCCTGTATTTATATGCGTCCTTATTTCAAGATCAGCCGAGCTCGGTGAAGATCGCCGTTACTAACCGATCTCCAATATCGATGCGCAAATAGCCTAGCTGATTCTAATAGACATTTCGGCCGTCTATCTGGAGCGAATACCATACAGAGCCCATACCAATTCAAGGTAAGCGAAATCGTATACAGCCCCGGCCTCGATTTCTAAGTGTACCGTTCTGCGCGGGCTTCAGTCGGCCAGTGGTTTTACTAGAGGCTGCTGTCCGATCGAAGCTAAAAGGCCTCTTATTCGTGACATATTTCATGTAAAAGCTTGTGATGTACCGAAATGAGTTGGTGCCTAAAGCAGATGTGGAAATTAAGGAGATGTTTACATTTTTAAGCGATGTGGCCTGCTAATTTCACATTATGTAAGGGTGGTTGTTATAATTCATATCGATTATTATGGAGGCCTTCAGGGACAGGCCATACGCCTCGTATGTATACCCTTTGTTTGAAAGTATTTGATCATAAATGTTTCATGTTTATAAAATGTAAAATCTCATTCCTAGGTGAGATTATTTATTAATAGTGCAATATATTTTAAACCTTTTTCTAAATAAATTAAACTGCAAATAAACCTTTATAGTATTGCCATTTGCTTATGTTTCCGTTTCCTGGTTAGCTACCGCCTACTAATTTGTGTTTTTAGCTTTGTAAGCTAACAAGCGAAAATGCCTTTCCGTGTTTGGCCTTCTTGATACTATATATTTTGGATTCAAGATGGATAAAGTTATATATTTTTTAATTAGGCTAGAGGTAGTTGTTGTACTTGGATATATTTACTCTGTCGTAGTATAAAGTTTCACAGCTGTCTATCGGCTCCAAGCTAATGTAGCGAGCTAGCTCCCCGGTAACTAACATTACTTTCTGTTTGCTGCCTGCCCGGTTCTCCTATACTAAAGTTGTTAATGTAACCTATGCTGACGTAAAGGACGGGTTTACAACATGTTAACGTGTGTTCAGTGAACACTTTAGCTGTAAGAGCTGTGCCACTATCAACACCAACTTAAAAACCCCTACAAAGTTTAAGGTAGTAGCTGAGCTATACGATAATTAAGCATGTCGAGGTATATGCTACGCTGTGTGTTTGTTATGAAGAGTTCACTACACTGTTTTAAAAGAGCAGTCTGTTTTTTCTTGTCGAGTCAAAAAATAAAGTATTTTTATAGTGAGTATATATTTTTTTTTAGCCAGTCTTGCCACAGTGCTAATGACATTGTCGGACAAACCCACTGTTTTACTTCCATTGTATTATCTCGTAATAAATGAACAGTGGAGTTAAATCAAGTACTGCGTGCCACCTGTTTCTCAATGAGAGAGCTTGAAACCGAAAATTAAAGGGCCTAACAGGAATGTCCGGATGGAAATGGCTAACACTGTAATTTTCTCAACTATTTAAATTTGAGTTTATTAATCACAGCACACACTCATAGTAGTTTCATGAAGAAGCAGATA